TTTACCGTGGGTTCTCAGAGACTATCGGCTCGGCTAAAAATATTGCCTTAGAATAATCGGGTTCAGTGTCTGCCTACCTACCCGGACGAAACTTTGTCCTTCGGCAAAGCCTTGTCCGGGTTCCTCTCTGCTCAAGGCAGAGAGATTGTCTGTTGAACAGTATGGTACTGTTAATATTCAACAGCCTCCCACGAGGGATGAATGTGGCACAAGGCCATTTACTGTGGGTTCTCCGAGATCTTAGGCTTGGCCAAAAATATTTCCTTAGACCCCCGCATAAACGGGTTCAGGGTCTGTCTACCTCTCCGGACGAAACTTTGCCCTTCGGCAAAGCCTCGTCCGGGTTCCTCTCTGCAAAGGCAGAGATATCGATAGTTGAACATTTTGGAGCACTGTTAATATTTAACAGCCTCCCCCCACCACCACGAGACATGTATGTGGCACAGGGCCGAGTTTACCGTGGGTCCTCCGAGCCTGTAGTCTCGGCCAAAAATATTCCGTTAGAACCCGCATAAACGGGTTTATGGCCTGTCTAACCCTCGTCCAGGTGTCTCCCTGCTCAAGGCAGAGAGTTTGACAGTAATGAACAGTTTGCCACCGTTATATTTAACACCCCGCCACGTGGGTCATACGTGGCTCAAGGCCGAGTTTATCTTGGGTTCTCCGTGACCGTAGCCTCGGCCAAAAAATATTCCCTTCGAACCCGTTTAAACGGATTCAGGGCCTGTCTATCTCCCCGGACGAAACTTTGCCCTGCGGCAAAGCCTCATTCGGCTTCCTCTCCACCGAGGCGGAGAGATTGACAGTCATGAACCGTTTGGCATCCTTCCCCCAAGGCTTACTTTCCTAGTACTTTATAATAAGTGGAAGAGTCCACAATAGCCTCATTAGAGAGGAAACACCACAACAAAAATACATCTATATTACATAAAAGTATTAATAAGCAAAAACTAAAAATTCTAGAAGCCATTTATGTAAGAGAAACAAAGCACAAGATACTTAAGTCAACTATCAGTGTAGCAACAAAATTCATAAATTTTCGAAGGAAAAAAAATAACAGCTGAAATGTTTTGAATTTACCGAAATACATATACCCATTAACAGACAATTTAACCCCCTGAAGATGGTCTCGGATGAGATTGAAAGTACTTGAGAAAATAATTTATTTTAAAAGAAATATAGAAAAAAAATATATTCTGTTTATACGTTATTTTTATACATACAAATATCTAAGTAAATACTCTGTTTATAATAAGCTCTATTAAATCGATTTATCTGACTAAATGCCCGAGGAATGTCATCGAAAATATGTTCTTCCGACAGGATTCAAAGCAGTATCCTACATGGAACCGTCGTATAGCCCGACGTGCTATACCATTTAGCTACAGAGGAAGCATTTGGTTAGCAATATCAAATTACTGTTTTCCATGATTTCTCTCGAAGCGTATCTTAAGTTAAATAAATGAAATCACATATAATAAAATGGACTGAGAAATTTCAATGAATTTAAGGCCGGTATATGTTGTTACTACTATTTTTATAAACGTAACATTTTCTTAAATATTTGCATCTATAAAAATAACGTATAAACAGAAAATATATTAACGTAATTGTCACACTTAGTCCATTTCATAACATATGACGTCATTTGTTTATGTTAAAATAAGCTTCGAGCAGATATGAGCGTTCGAGAGAAATCATCGGAAAGTTGTAGTTTAAAAGCAGTTATTTGACCTTGCTAACCAGACGCTTCCTCTGTAACTAAATGCTATAGCACATCAGGCTATATGTTGGTTCCGGGTAGGATACAGGTTCTATTCCTGTGAGAGGACATATATTTTAATGAAATTTCTCGGATATTCAAGACGGTAATTTTTTTTAATACTTTTTATTATAAAGAGAGCATTTAATTAGATATTTGCATCTATAAAAATAACGTGTAGACAGAAAATATATTAAATAGTTGTCGGACTTAGTTCATTTCATAATGTATGATGTCATTTGTTTAAAGTTAAAGGGAGATAACTGAGACATCCGGAAGAGACATGGCATGTTGAACTAGAACTATCTACCCTCGGCGGACCAAATAAACGGTGCAATTTGAAATTTCGATCACCTGAAGTAGGTCAGATTGCAATTTGTTTTTTTTTTTACTTTTAGAATAAAATTATGTTTTTTAGATATATAGTTTGTAGACCATAATATGTATTGTTGGTATTTTTACTATAAAGTATAACGGCTGAAGTGTCGTAAACATTACAATAAAATAAGGACAACAACCCAAACAATGTAAATCAAGTTAATATTGTTAAAATAGTAAGAATTTTATCCGGAATAAATCTTTGATATTCTCAAAATATTCTTAATATTTCCCCGTAAAAAAAAAGGATTTTTTTTTAGTATCTGTCTATAATTCTGAGATGAGATATTCATCATCTTCCAAATAGTAAAGAATTTTGCTTTGAAGGTCATATTTTTATATCTTACATTATTTACATTAATCGTATAATTGTCCTCATCTTTCTCGCCATATTTATCACAACGTTTCGGCCGTTGTATGCTCCGGTTAGTTGGAATGTCGAACTGAACCCTTTATTTCGCTCACTGGGATAGACTGTTCTTGTTCTACGTGCCCTGTATAATGGATGTCAGTTATCAGTTGTCTCCTGTTAATTTTCCTCTGAAAATTCTCCACTGCATTGAACTCACACTCTTTGGGTCCTGTCACTGGATCTAACCAACGCCTTTATCCACTGTGCCATGCGAAAGGGTTGATAAGCCGTAAAGAAAAATATCTCTGTTAATATTTGCAACACCAGCTATAAAATCCATTATCCTACCGATTGATCCGATTTTATTAAAAAAAAAACTGTTAATCTTTCTCAGACACCCTTTTTTGTGACAATCTTGATGCCAGATTTTTTAAAAAAAGATCAACAAATTCCGAGTAGAAAACTCGAATCTAGTTAACGTCAACAAAGAGAAGATAACTTGTAAAGTACTGGATGGTAACGTAGTGGCAGATTGCACAATAAAAAGAATAAAAGAAACGGAAAATCTAGACAAATATCTGAAATTTTCAAAGACAAAAAAATAGACTCATAAACATTGCAATCGTTCTTTATCACTGTTGGATTATTTTGAAAGATCTAATGAAAAGCCTATCAAAATGTGGCGTAAGAAGAATTTTGAGGAAGAGTTGAAAGCGTCCTAATAGCATCACTGAAAATAGTAAGAAAAACGAAATCTGTTTTGATAAATATGAAGTCATCAATTATATACTAAGCAAATATAATAAGTTTGTCCAGAAAGAATACAAAGATGGGTAGGAATGGTGATCCCCTGGATGCTTAGAACCTGACCATCTAATTAATGGTACGTCCATAAAGCATATTTTTTTCTAGATAATAAAAATAATCAATTCTAGTTTAAGGCGGATTGTAGTAATGGCTAAAACAAGTGTCCAGCAAGTGTAATCATTTGCTAAAATTGATAAGCATTTCTGTATCGCGAGGCGATGAACTTATATTTTCATGAGCTAATCAGAAACTAGGGAGTAGAGAGTATCGAGGTGAACCTTTTGCCGTGTTCTTCATTGAAAGTCACCAGCTGCACCACTTGTGTAGTCTCAGTGAGTTTTTTTTAATCATTTCACCCCAAACAAGGTGATAAAGACACTAAAACACAAGGGGGTTACTAATTGTAGGAAACTAAGCAAAAGTTAGTGAAGAGAAAGGAAAATGAGAAAAGAAGATAAAGACTTATGTTGCATTTAATTTTCCTTTCTTTTAGATTGTAGTTGACAGGAAAACAATAATGGTGTTCCACAGGCGAGAAGTGCGAGACGAGAAACTATTGGAATATAACCAAGTAATTTAGTCACTGCAACAGTAGAAATATGAAGCTCGCTAACAATCGAAATTAAATCAAGTAAAGTATAAATTAATGATGTAGATCTTGAAGGATAAAGTTAAGTTCAAAGGTTAATCTTGTCATCGTACAAATGATCAGACATCAGCCGTATATTAGAAAGATGTTAATACTTTAGGTAAATTATTTTTTAAGAGAACCAGATTCAATAAACTCTCAGAACAGACACGCGAAAACTTCGCTAAGAGGCGATCTCATTGACAATCCGAATTTTGATTATAAAAATCATTGTTGAAAATTAAACAATATTGGTTTCTGATGAGTCAACAATTATTTAATTTTTTTTCTACTAGTAGGGGGAGGTTTATTTTTTATTGTAGCCAGTGTATTTGTATATTTAAACCTTTGTCGATCTTAACGTTAATATAGAGATTTGGCATATAAATTCGTCATATAAATCATATATATTTCCCTTAATATTTCGACTTTTGTGGTTGTGTTAATTTGGCGTTGTCCATATGATATGACTCTATGATATACATAAACAAACCAAAGGAGATATTGCAATATGACAAATCATATGACATAGATAGATAGCAAGATGGATCAAAAGATAGACCGCTAGATATGAACAGAATGAAACTGTCATAAAATTCCAATAAATCATTTATGTGACAAAATAAAAAAAAAATACGTATTTATCAAAGCTACAATATCCTTCGTTTAAAAATTGTTCCGTTACGAACAGCAAAACTTAAAATCCTGACATCTACCTACTTTTGGAAGCAGAAAATTACAAATCTATCTATCTATCTATCTATCTATCTATATATATATATATATATATATATATATATATATATATCTTTTGTTCATATATATCAATATATGTATCCCTCTCACTGTGTTCAAATCTATCTCATTTTGTTCATATCTAATTTATCGATTTCATTTTGTTCATACCTATTTCAGCCAATTCGTTATCTATCTCATTATGTTCATATCTATCTATCTATCTATCTATCTATCTCATTATGTTCATATATATCTATCTATCTATTCATCTATCTATATATCTAGCTAGCTAGCTATCAACCAATCTTTGTCTTTCTGTTCATATATATCAATATATGTATCTCCTTCACTGCGCTCATATCTATCTATCTATCTATCTATCTATCTATCTATCTATCTATCTATCTATCTATCTATCTATCTATCTCATTATGTTCATATATATCTATCTATCTATTCATCTATCTATATATCTAGCTAGCTAGCTATCAACCAATCTTTGTCTTTCTGTTCATATATATCAATATATGTATCTCCTTCACTGCGCTCATATCTATCTATCTATCTATCTCATTATGTTCATATCTATCTATCTATCTTGCTAGCTAGCTATCAATCAATCTATGTCTTTCTGTTCATATATATCAATATATGTATCTCCTTCACTGCGCTCATATCTATCTATCTATCTATCTATCTATCTATCTATCTATCTATCTATCTATCTATCTATCACTCGCTCACTCTCTCTCTCTCTCTCTATATATATATATATATATATATATATATATATGTGTGTGTGTGTGTGTGTGTGTGTGTGTGTGTGTGTGTGTGTGTTCAATAAATCAGTGATTATTGCCCGACTTATTGACCGACTCAACAGTTTCGCGTGACACTGCGGATCAGGGTTAAATGATCCGATAAATCTATTGAATTATTACCAGATACCATATCTGACCCCTGATAAACGGTGTTGCGCGAATCGTGCAATGAGCTAACTTCAGTTAACATTCGTTGATTTATTGAATACTCTCAATATGGTTATCTATTCAGCATTTTTTTGCAAAATGTTCTGCCGGCCTTAAAATACACCAATGTTTTCCTAATTTGTGCGTATTTTGATAGCTTTCTTTGATTTGTATTATACACTGCTGTGCAAAAGTATGTGAACCCCGAAGATAATATTTCCAGATAATCAACAAAACTCAATTAAACTATACATTCATTAAGAAAAAGTTTTATTAAACCAATTACAACTACTTTCAAAACTTTTATCAAGCTAGAAAAAAATATTAACGTAATTTCTCGAAAATAATACACATTCTTTTTCCTGGAAATTACAGGTGATAATAAGGGTGCGTATTATAAATAGGTTTAAGCAAAAATATTTTTCATCATTGATTTATAATAATAAATACGTACTTGTTCTAAAATAAAAAAGATTTTATCCTAATTTTCATTTTAAATCCAACAATAATAATTAACATTTTTTTGTTAATAAATTTATGTTTATCAGTAACCGCATTTTTTATTTGCGAAAAAATAAAAAAATCTATAAAAGGCCAATTTCGAAGGAAAGAGGTTATCAAGTTAACAATTTATTGAAGTTTTTAATTTTCATCATTATCATCATCACTTTCTATTATAGAATTAATATCTAAATTGCCATTAAACAAATTATCATTCACAATATTATTTTCGTTCTGTTTAAAATTATCTTCGGCCTCTTCATTCTCTTGCCAAAGGATGTCATCTTCAGAGCCATCCATGGCAGTCGTGAGACAAGATATCTTGAAACCTCTTTTTTGCCTTCATCCTTATTTCCACTTGATCGTCTTACTTTCACAAATTCAATTAAACTTTGTTCCATATCTGGATATTGAGCTTTTCTTCCTCTACCTATAGCTTAGGCACTTGATTTACACTTTTTTAGTTCATTTTTATTCTTTCCCCATAAACGTATGTTAGCCTCATTCAACTCATATTCTATAGCTTCAGCTCTGTTTCCTATTCTTTCTGCTAATTCTATTATTTTTTTGTTTAAAATTTACACTATAACTCGCACGTTTTGACGACATTTGAGCGGTAAAATAAAATGTTATATTTACCGGTAAAACCGCTGGTAATTTTCAACATTATTTTAGCCGCTTAGTTTCGATTTTATTTTTAATGTCAAGGTCGACAAAATGGCTTCGTAATTATTACTTTTTGACAAAATTTATAAAAGCGTATTATACATAGGTATAGATATATTTCTTACTTTTTAGATCATTTGTTGGGGTGCATATTGTTTGTGGGTGCGTATTATTTTCAAAATTTAAAAAAATCTGCAAAAGTAATAGAATAAATACAATTAATATTTGGCGGTTTCTTCTTTTGGAGTTACATTGTTAACCATTGTTTTTTCTGCAATTTTTATGAAGTTTCTCGTAGTAGTGAGTGCCGATTTTTATAATTCTTCTTGGCAAAATCCCAACAATTTCTCGGTTCTTGTATGTACTGTCTTTTTGAATCACAGATTTTCAAATGTCCTTAGATCAGGGCTTTCACTAGCCCGTTCCAAGACTTGAAATTTCTTTTTACAAGCCTATTCTTTGGATTTGTTTTGATGCTTCAAATCATTGTCATGATGAATGTTCCAGTTCCGACCTAAACGGTGATTTGAGCGTGCCAAATTATTAGAAAAGTGTAAAAATTTAGTGAAAAATGGGAGGTAAAATCAGTTAAAGTAATGCTGAAAAGAAAACTATCACCCCAGAAGTCTCAAAAGGTAAATCTACGCTAGAAATTTCTAAAATGAAAGGGAGGTGTCATCAAACATTGAAAAAGTTCACCGCCGACCCTACACAAGTGCGCAAAAGAGCAGATAAAGGCAAGCCGAGGGTTATTTCACGCCGTCTCATGTAACGACTTAAACGAGAGTCCACAAAGAATCCTGGACTTACCAGTCAAGAGCTTTTTAGTCGCATTGAGGATCCTACTGTGTCTAAAGGTACTCGGTGTCTGTATCTGAGGGAAATAGCAACAACAGTCAAACCTGTATTGAAGCCTCCTTTCACGAGAAATCACATTCAAAATCGATTGAAATGGGCCGAGGACAATATGGAGATTGACTTCTCTAAAGTTTTGTTCACAGACGCAACAATTGATGGGCCAGATAGATGGTGCAAATGCTGGGTAATGAACGGATAGAATCGCCATCAGCGTTTGAGACTCCAACAAGGCGGTTGAGGCATAATGATCTGGGTGGTATCATTGGAAAAACATTAGTGGGCCCATGGAGAGTACCAGATGACGTCAAAATGAATGCTGATGCATACATAGCGTTTATGAAGGAGCATCTTGAACCGTGGATGAAAAGGTAAATAGTTGCCTTCAGAAGGGTCATTGTTTTTATGCAAGATAATGCTCCCTCACATGCTATTCACAAGACTACTGAATATTTGAAACAGTTAGGCTTCGATGGACCTCGAAAAATGAAGTGGCCAGCAAATTCTCCGGATTTGAACCCAATCGAAAACCTTTGGAGCATCATGAAGCGAAGACTGTACGCCAACGGACGATAATTCAAGAGCAACGCTGAGTTGTGGGAAGCAAGTCTTGATATATCTCGCGGCATTACAGCAGATGACATCCTACAATTAACAAATTCTATGGATCGTCGACTTTTTCAAGTAATTTCAAAACAGGGAAAGCACATTCCCTATTAATTTCTTTAAAACTGTACCATTGTTTGTATCTGTTATTATTTGTTTGGTTATCTTATTTATTAGCTTCTTTTGATCATAAACATTCACGTGCAACATTAATAAACGTTTTGTTTGCTCAATTCTGGGAATTTTACTAAACCTTTTTAATAATTTGCCACGCTCAAATCACCGTGCTGATAACAAATATGGCGCAAGTTTGTTTACACTGTGCAGATCAGTACGAAAATTTCAGTGATTGTGCAGGTCAGTATTGCCAACATTGTGTGAAAATGTTATGAGAATTGATTGGACGGTTTTTGAGATATAAAAAAAGTTATCTCGATAATAATTTGGCACGCAGTGTATATATATATATATATATATATATATATATATATATATATATAATCAAATCACTTGTGTGGGTTTTCTGGCGGTTTACCTTGATTCGTTCTTATCCACAGAGTTCACTTGCAATGTCCGCTGGCGAGAGTGTGAAAGCGACGGGGTCAGGTAAAGGATATTACTGGAAGGCTCTAGCTGGAGCTCTACACAGTGCCAGACTTTCACAAACCCATGAGCAATTGTCATGTCCGTGTCCTTCATCGGTGAAAAAGCAGCCCTATTTAGGATTGCACTGCTTTCCCTATTATGGGAAGTGGGGTGATAAAAGGAGCCCTAAACATTGCTTGCTCACACAGTGACTTGGCATCCCGCTGCAGCTGTCTAATTATTCAATAAATCAGTCAAAACAGCAAGGAATATCAGAATAAATATAAGAAGAATTTCAATTTTGGATCTTGGAATGTTCACACTCTTCAGGACAATGATTCTGTACTAGAGCGTAAAACAGCTCTTGTTTCTCTCGAGTTAAAGAAATATAACATCGACACAGCGGCCATTAGTGAAACACGTCTGGCTGGTAATTCTCAGCTTAGGGAAGAAAATGGCGGATACGTATTTTTATGGGCTGGCAAGACTGAGAAAGAGCCACGCCAGTCTGGTGTTGGCTTTGCCATCATTCCAGACATTGCCAGCTCACTGCCTTCGTTACCTAAATGTGTATCCGATTGCATAATGGAATTAACCCTTAATCTGGAGTGCAACACCCGTGTGACGATGGTTAGCTGCTACACGCCAACCTTAGGTAGTTCAGATAAAGAAAAATATGATTTTTACAATCTTCTTCGGGATGTCATCTCCAAAGTCCAACATAAGGATAAATTAGTCCTTACAGGTGATTTCAATGCTCGTTTTGGCAATGATTATCATTCTTGGAAGTGCGTTTTATGTCGCCATGGTATTGGTCATGTGAATTCTAATGCATTACGCCTTCTCACTATCTGCAAAGAATTTGGTATCACTAATACCTTCTACCAGCAACCCAGCTGTCGTAAGACCACGTGGATGCATCTTCGTTCGAAAGACTGGCATTTGATCGACTACGTCATCGCCAAAAGACGGGACATAAAAGATTTTAAGATAACGCGTTCATTCCACAAAGCATGCTATCTGTAAGATCATGCTCTACTTCGAAGTAAAGCTACACTGCATCTGCAAAAGCGAAGGATTATAAAATCTACAGTGCCCAAGCGCATTAACGTACTGCCTCTAAAAATCGACTGAAGCAAAAATTGAGCTCTCTGACAAACTTGATGCTGCACTCGATTCTGTAAATAGTACTAATGATATGGAATCATCTTGGAAAGCTCTGCGTGATGCAACATATTCTACATCCTTGGAGGTTCTAGGCCTGCCATATCGTAAACATCAAGACTGGTTTGATGACAATCGCACTCTTCTCATAAAGCATGGATTGAGGACAAGAACTCGTCCGATAAAAAGATCGCTTACAAGAAGTGCAAAAGTCAGGTTCAATGAGCTCTCAGAGCCATGAAAGAGCGTTGGTGGTCTGAAAAGGCCACTGAACTCCAAGAAGCTTCAGACAGAAAGGATCTAAAGACTTTCTATGCTGGCCTCAAGAGCATTCTCGGTCCTCAGAAAAGTGGTGTTTCCCTATCTCCACAGCAGATGGTGAAACACTTTTGACGGATAAGTCAGACATTTTAAATCGCTGAAAAGAGCATTCCGAAACTGTGTTAAA